TTTTTTCGTCGCGCTGCTGATGACGTCAGGTACGCGCTTTCGTCGAGCGCGGTTTTGTCTACCGCGGTTTTGACGGGTCACGATCCTAACTGCCCTAGGTTATTTATAAAACTAATAAAGGTGTGATAAAAATAAAATATTACTAACACGTCAAACCTTAAACATAAGGTTAAACCCATCAGAAAACCTTTCTGATCAGCACCCAGTCATCCAAATTAATTTGACAAGCACCAGGATTAGACACACACTCACCCCAATTTGTCAGAGTGCGGCTAGTTTTATTTGAAGTTTTATTTTACAGCCCTTTAATTCCTCTTTCAATTCCCACTTCGGAAGGGGGGGGGGATATCAAATGAAACCCTGTGAAAGCCCAAATTCACCCAGATGTCCCCGATTAACATTCTGTGTAAATTGACCCTTTTTAATACACTGCTTTCCCCCTTTGGCAACGGACAAGGGTACAAAAGAAACGACTTTTGGAATGATTTTCTTACCTCAGGAGAGCCAAGGAATGTCTCTCATGTGAGATTGAAGAAAAACATGAATTAAAACCCACTTTAATTATTAACAAGCTTCAACAGACTTACCTTCACCCACTTTTATGTAAACGTTCCTGGATATTTTAAATTCAGTGAAGGATGTTACTGCTCCATATTCCTTTTCAGCCCACTCTAAGAGATGCTTATTCCCTTGAGGAAGGGGTTTCTCTTCTCTCTTTGCTGTCAAGGAAAAGCCTTCCTTCTCAAACTGCACCATGGAGCCTGCTGAAACCTGAGGAGATTGGAAGCCATATTTAATGTGACAGTCACCTATTACCAAATAATTATCTCTTCAAAAATCTTACCAACCATTAAAACTGTGACACTGTCTCCACTACCTGCTAAATAAACTATACTGCAATCATTCGGATAAGCTGACGTCCCTTTAAATAGAATATTGCACCAAGAGCATGGATTTCAATTCTTTTCAATTAGTTATCAACGAAAGATTCAATGTGGATGAGAAGGTATTACCTTCTAGAAAGAAAACATAGAAAAGATGCATAAGGATTTGAAACATGGACCCAAACCAGGGGTGAAATGCTCTATAGTCTGCTACCGGTTTCCTTCGCGCACAAAGGAAGGAAGGAATTTCTAGCGAATATAAATTGTGCGGCACAGCTGATTGTCGTACAGCTGATCGTCTGAACTTTTTAAAAACTTTTTAAAAGCGTTTTTTACTACCNGTGTGTGTGTGTGTGTGTGTGTACAGCACCTTTGCTTAAAAATGGGGAAGGCAATATCATGCTTCGTTAATTAGGTATTATCTTGATATTCCTACCCAACATGACCCTACACTGGTGTAAACTGTAGTTCTTTTGGCTTAACAAGATAAGCCTTTTTTTCAAAAATATTCATCATGTATCAACTTTCCTCAATAAATTATTGCTGCCAAAAGTCATATATCAACAGTAAAATTCCCTGCAGCTGGAAGGTATTTTAAAAAGATTTAACTCTAGGATAACGGAAAACCAAAGGGATTACACTCTAGGTGCTAACAAAATGCTAAGAGGGGAAAAAGAGTTCCAGCATAGAAATGGGAACACTTAAATTCATCTAAGTAGATTTGGAAAAGACTGTTAACTAATTAATGCTTTATGAAATAACGGCATCATAACACAGAAAGCAAAATGGCAAATCAGGAAAGTTAGCGAGAAAAATGTGCAGGCCAGTTGCTCGAAGAAATAAATGAAATATGATATATTATAGCATGCAATTTGAAGTAATACAGAACCCTAACATTCACATCACATTTTCAATAATCTAGATAGGGATAGGGAAGACACAAAAGTTGACCATCTCAATAGCAATGAACTGGACAAGTCAAAACCCTTTATGTTGCTCTTTGATGCCCTGAGTCTAATTAGTACCCAAGCCTGCAATGTAAATAGCCAAAGGATCTATTCAAAAACACTGACAATATAAGTGGCATGGGACTGGATTTATTAGATTCCAGTTTAGGTGCAAAAAATTAGAGCATCCATCCATCCATGTTGGCATCCCAATATGGATTGGGTTCCTGAGTTTCAAGGAACATACTGAGCAATAAAATATTGTTTCTTATTTAGATATTTTGCTGCACTGCCAAAGAGCAAATTATTTTGAAATGTCATCAGTGCATTATGTAGCATACCAGGTTTTATAACTAACAGGTTTTATGCCAGTTTGATCTAGTGGTTCAGGCATCAGGCTAGTAACCAGGAGACGGTGAATTCTAGTCCTCCTTTAGGCATGAAAAACCAGCTGGATATTTTGGGCCTGTCACTCACTCTCAGGTCAACCCACCTCAGTAACCCTAATCCTAACTGGTTCTACCACAAAACCGTGGTAGACAAAAGCGCGCTCGACGAAAACGCGTACATGACGTCATCACAGCGCGACGAAAACATCGTGTTGTGAGCGGTAAATTAAAAATTAAAGCGAAAACCGTGCCCTAACCCCCCCAAACCTAACCATAAA